TCACCGACTTCTCTGATTTCCAATTTGTCGACCTGATTAGGTTGGTCTCCCAGCAGTATTGAAGCCAGGGACGGCGTCGCTTCAATGTACTCCACCACCGATTCCTCGTCCAGTGGCCGGAATCCATCAGAGGCCATTTCTTCCCAGGCGGCTGCGAAGAGCGGCGGATTTGGTAAAGAAAGAAAAGCGCGGCACGCACTCCGCCCGCGACTGCGTAACAAATGACTGTGTTTCACAGTGCCTTACATTGAACCTGGACCATGCTAAAATCAGTTGGAATGCAAGTGTATTTCTCAACCGGTCAAAATTACACTTAATTCAAGTCATAGAATTAAATTTGGGGAATTGAATTACATTAAATTAAATTTTAGGGTTTGTTAGGTACACAAAATTGACAGAATTTAAATAGAACTGAGAGTAAAAATTTTATGAAATTGATTTGGATGGAATTGAATTCTCCAATTTTAATTCATTCCTGTTACTATCTATTCTAAATCTACATTGAGGATGATATATAGAGAACGTATCAAAATAAAGAAAACACCTATAATAGGACTAAAAGATGGCTTATATTCCCAAAATAGGAGTGCTCTCTTTTTATACCCGAAATAGGACTAAAATTATTTTCTTTAAAACTAATCCCACGCGCCGAGCTTTCTGTGATTATCGACAAAAATAAGAAATCTCACGCACAACATCTTTTATTCTTGATCATTTGATTCTTGTGGCCTCTTCGAATTTGTTGATCGTTTTTGCTGTTCTTTTTTTTCTTGCTGTTTTTTGGAATCGTCTTTAACAAGGGATCATTAATTCAAGCTCTTCCTTGTTGATTTCTGACTGAAATTCTAAAAATTGAACATTAAAATTCACGACCTTACTATTCAATCGGAAATTTTACACAGCGGATTCACTGCGATTTCGTCCAAATTGAAGGCCAAGCTTGAGAGATTAGGAGCGACTAGAGATGCTATTTGAGAATCAAAAGTTGGTTTGCTATTCCAACAAAGATTCATATGATGTAGCCTGATCGGGGTCTCGACATCACTATTCACATACATTGGAAGCCTAAGATTCGTTCTACCAAGGGCTTCGTCTCCTTCAAGCTTTTGGTGTTTTGGGGGTATTGTTTAAGGGCCTTTCACTTCATTTAAATGATGATTTCCCTGATTGGATTGTTGTACATGTTCTTCGGTTCCATTTTTATTCTTGTTTTGCGTTTGGGCTTGGACTTCTGATTTGAGGCTATGGCTGTTTGAAATGTTGTTTGAGTGATGTATGAATTTTGCTAGAACTGTGCAACTAATTAAATTGAAGAAGATGAGAAGGATTTTGGGGATGAGTCTCTTTGAAGATGTGAAGAAACATGTTTGTTGTTTTCGTACAAGTCCTTGCTCACTACTTTGGACTTTTGGTGAGAACCGTTGAGGAGAATGCAGCTTTGGAGCTACTGGTTTTGAGGTCTTGCAGTACTTCAAAGTGTTTTTGCCATTATTGGAGTGTTTTGTCCGATGACACTAGGGTTGTTGTTTGCTAAAAGTTGGTGGCCTTTGTCGATCAGCGCCTTGGATGGGAAGGGCTATTGTTGAGCTAGTCTATACCAATAGTTTCTGTTCACCTTGCCAGCTTCTTCATTGCCACCTTCGCCAAGTTCCTTGGGGACTATGATGTTAGTTTCCATCAAGCTTGATGGAGCTTGGGGACAAAGCTTGATTTCAGTGGAGGGTTACGAGCCACTTTCCAACCATCTTCTTGGTTGGGTTTGGGGCTTTTCGGGGCACAAGGATGTTGACCTAGTTATGCTATGTTGCTCTACATTAGTGTGCAATGCATATTGAGTAGGCAAGGTGTTAGTGGTCTTTCCAGTGCATTTATTGTTACTCGGTAGCTTCCCCTATTCTAAGCGATGAAGGTCGATTCCAATGGTGACTAAACTTCACTGGAAGACGAAGGGCCGTGGTGGATAATAGTCGTTTGGTTACCATTTAACCCGGTCTGTTTGTGGATGGCTTTGAGACCAGGTTTGCTGCCCTAAATGCCTAGCCTTCAAAGGATTTGATATGGGTCGAGGGTAATGTTTGGTTGGAATATGATACATGATGGCCGCCGCCTTTTCGATCCATAGCAGTCACCGTCTCGTGCAATGCCATCACCGCCGCTGCCCTCATCCCTCTTCGCCAGTGTTGGGGATGGTTGGTCTTTCGGGCGCCATAAAGGGGGACGTAAAACAAGTGATGGTCATTAGTATTGCAGGGTAGTGGTAGGGTTGGGTTTGGAACTGTGACATTATATATGGGAAATTGTGGCATTGTATATGGGAAACCATGACATTGTATAAGACTACATGAGAAACTATGGCATTGTATATGCATGTGGATCTGTGGCATTATATACAGGAATATGTAGTATTATGCATTGAGAACATTGTGGTCGCCGATGACGATGAAAAATCAACGGCAACAATGGCGTATTTCGGCAGGGCACACACATCATCGTAGTGGGGTCGGAGACTCGGAGTAGGCTAGCGGCGGAGACTGAAGTGACCATAACATGCAACAAAGACGTGGTGGTAGTGGGACACGCTGATGGCGGCAAGAGGTCATGGCGACGGCGGTAGGGGGTGCTGGCATAGGCGGTAAGCTTCCGTCAATAGTGATGAGTTTCCAATTCATTTCCATTCTTTTATTCCGTACTAGTGTCTTTGAGGGGTGCTGGCATTGACAATTTTTTTAGATTTACATTTATCATGCTTTGGTCCAAAGATTGGAGTCCAAATTGCATGGGCAGTCAACACAGCGCGTGAGCATTATTTTTTTCTTTTTAATATAAATTAATTTAGTTATTGCTCCTATTTAGAGGAGTTTAAGTTTCAACTCTTATTTTAGGAATATGATATATTTTACTCCTAGTTTGGTCCTTTTCCCATCAAAATATTGAATTCCATGTTTTTGTTCCCTAAATAAAAGTTTGGTAAAGTCATTTTATTTCTATAAAAGAATATTTGACTTATAATGAGCTTATATGTTAAAACATGACTATCACCAAGACACCAACAAGCCAATCACCACTACAGAGAACACACTCTTAGAGCCTGTTCTTTAGGACTGAAAAAAAAGAGCTGGATGTTGGAAGGAACTGAAAAAAATGAAAGAAAATTGAAAAAACTGGAAGAACTGAAAGAAACTAGAAGAAACTAGAAAAAACTGAAAGAGCTAGAAAAACTGGAAGAAACTGGAAAAAATTGGAAGAAACTGGAAAAACGTCAAAAAATTAGAAAACATAAAAAAAAACTTTAAAAACATTTATTATAAATTCTTGTTGTTACATTTATGTTACATTGAATATAATGACATAATATGACCCGAAGCTTCTAAGGTGTTTTGTTCAAAAACATTAACTATATTCCTACCTTCAGCTCTGTGAACCGACTTATTCAGCGATTGGCTACAATGATCATTGTAGCCAATCATCAAATGGGGGGGGGGTGCAGAGGGTTGAGGGGTGCTGGACGGGGGAGGGGTTGTTGGTTGGTTAGATAGTATGATTCATCAAATTTTTGGACTAAATATCCGAGACATGCTATGACCTTGTGATCAATATCACAATAACCTTATCATACTTTTTGAATCACATTTTTTCCTATTTTTGAATTATTTCTATAAAAAAAATTTCTTAAACTTCATAATTAAGGGCATGTTTGGAAACAGCGTTAGAGATTAGCGTTAGCGTTTTAGATAAAATTTTAACGGTGTAGATTACTTTGAAAACGCTAACGCTAAACGTTGCCCGTAGATAGCCTTTTCAAAACGTTAATTCTAATCGCTAACGTTATTCCCAAACAGGCCCTAAAACATGTAGAGGGAGTATATTATAAAGATGACCCTTATGTAAGGCAAAATTGTCAACATCATGTGACCTGGAAATGTGAAATGTAAAAATATGATATAATTAGTTTGTATTTGAAATTCTACCAAACTTTTCAAGTTTGAATATTGTATTAACTTGATTTCATAAAATAATATCAGAGAAATTAATATTATGCCGGAAGTCACAAATTGGTTTTTCACTAATACGATTTAGCTTATGTTCTTTTGAATTGATATTTTAGAATTGGATGTTGGAAGAAACGGAAAGAAATTGGAAAAAAAATTAAGTTGAAAATGTTTGAAGAATTAAAGTGCTAAAAAATCAATCAATTAAAAATGATCACCGAACTAAATATGTTAGAAAATTCTAATTTTGGATAAAAAATTTATCATTAACTGTGTTTGAGGAAATATATTATAAATTTAGATAAATAATGTTATTCTACATTAATCATATTAATATCTTTTCAAGTCAATGTTGAAAGAAACTAAGAAAGACTTGTAAAACACTACAAAGAATTAGAAGAAATTAACCAAGTCCTTAATGTTAATGCTTATACATGCAAAAAATGATGATGTTGAATACTGACCCTATAAATAGTGTCTATTTTCTTCATTTTGTAATGAGGTAGTATATTACTCTCTTCGTCCACAAATAACTTTACATTGCGCGTTACGATTTTCAAATCATTTTATATGAAAAATGGTGTAGAGTTGAAAAATAAAAATTACATATTAAAAAACTATATCAAAAGATCTACAAAACTAGAGGTGACATGACTATATTATTTTATCAAATGGGTGACGAAAATAGGCCAACAAAGTAAATAAAATTTGATCCTGTGAATAGTGAACGTAAAGTTTATTTGTGGATGGAGGGAGTCCCTAAATAAACTTCCTTTTTTGACTTTTTGAGGATTTAAGGGAGAGATATTTTTGTGTCGACTTTCCAAAAATACTCTTGATGTGATGTGTAAAACTAAAATGTGATATCTAGATTATTAGTAAAAAAGTATGATGTGATAGGTGGGGTATGAAAAAGTAAAGGGTAAAAGAGGTTTTTTAAGGGAAAAGAGAAGTTTATTTGGAAACAAAGAAAAAACGAGAAGAGAAGTTTATTTAGGGATGGAGGGAGAATATACACTAAGTTTTTTATTTAATTAATAATAAAAAAATACATAGGAAAAAAAGTCCAATTTGACGAGTAATACATAGTGTGGTATGACCCACCCGCCCCCTGTATGAAAACGGTGTTACTGGGGCTCCCCCACTTTTCCGGTTCTCCGCCGGTCAACTGCTCAGAGAACACCTCCGCCGGACCTCTTCCACGAATTCATTCAAATTCCTGTCAGAGGAACCGCCCTCCGCCACTGCCGCCTCCGCCTTCTTCTTCCAGGCCAACGCCCTCTCCTTCATCTCCGCCGCCGCCGGCCCGCGCGTGGCCTCGACCAAGCACTTCTCCACCTCCTCCCTGCCGACGACCCTGTTCTCGGCTTCCCCTCTGGAGAGGCGAACCCCGATCCGGAACACCTCCACCAGATACTTGGCGTCCGTCACCTGGTCGCCCCACAGCGGGAACGCCACCACCGGAACGCCGCTAGTCATCGCCTCCATCGTCGAGTTCCAGCCGCAGTGGGTCACGAAACAGGCCACCGATCGGTGCGCCAGCACCTGTTCTTGGGAACACCATTTCACTATCTTCCCGTTGTCCCCTACTCTGTCCAAGAAGCCCTCCGGCAGGACCGTCGACGGAGTCCCCGACAACGGCGGCTTTCTTACCCACAAGAAACAGAGGCCTGAGTTCAACAGCCCATGGGCAATTTCGTCCACCTGCACTCCCAAAGAAACAAGTGTTACTTGAAGCAATAAATTAATGAGTAATTCTTATTTAATCCCTACATATCAAATATTACTAACTTAGCCCTCAATTATTATATTCATTTCCATGACTTATTTTTTGTTAACATTCCCGTTAAAAACATGGAAAAAATTGTAAATTCACACTTATTTCTCTCCTCAATTAAGCTTCTTCCCTTCCCTCCCACTCATTTTTCAAATTCATCGCTGAATTTGAAGCTTTGAACCCAAAATCAAAATCATCACTTTTCTCTCAATTGTTTGTCTAACTGGTGGAAACCAAATTCGAAATCAGTAACCTTCATGGATGAGTTTTAATGTTTATTTTCTTTGTAATTTTTTTAGACTAACCAATAAAACTCATCTATAAAGGTTATTGGTTTTGATTTCAGGTTTCACTAAAAAGAATAATAATTGGGAGAGGAATGATCATTTCAGTTTTGGGTATAGAACTTCAAACTCAACGATGAGTTTGAGAAAGAGTATGAGAGGGGGGAGGAAGTTTAATTGAGGAGAGCCAAGAGTGTGAATTTACAATTTTATCCACGTTCTTAATGGAAATGTTAACAAAAGAGCATTCGTGGAAATGATATATAATAATTGGAGACTAAATTATTAATATTTGATATGTAGGGACTAAATGGGTGATTTTCCAATCAGTGAAGATTTGGGAAATGCATTCCCAAATGGTGAAGGTGTACCTGACAATGCGCAGGGTGGTGTGATTTGATGCTTAACGGGACTGATAGTACCGTTAGTTCATTTTTTTTAGGTTAGCGGTAGAGCCAGTACCGTTAATTTCATTTGATGCACTACTACTGAAATTAAAAAGCATACAAATAAAAGTTGTCGTACATATTTAAAAATCACACATTGAAATTTATAATTTAACTAAGTACCCCGACGATGCCTCCGTGGTCGCATATCCATATTATTTGTGAAGCGGGTGCTCACTGGACGACCGGTCTGCAGCCTTTGCCCTGTAAATGGTCGGACTAATTCGTAATCAAGAATAGGCCATTCAATTTCATTTTGTAGTGGCATAACACTTCCAGAATATGCATCAAGGTAATTCTGAAGTGAGAACACTCGTGGAATGAGATCATCAACCATAATGTTACAATAACAACATACGGCATAGACATGCACACAAGGCATGTGCAATGTGGCCCATTTCTCGCAACTGCACAATTTTTGGCCTAGAAGCACGACAATCTCATCTAATCTACCGGTAGCTCCAGCGTTGCCCTCAAAAACGACCCGATAAATCCTTTGTTGCGGATGATGTGGGATAACATGGCAATGTAAACGATGGTCTTCCATGCGTCTCACCACGTTCCAAATATATTTTGGGAACTTAAATCCCGCTTGTAGCCATGTAAATCCGTTTGTACACCTTTCTGCAAATAATTTTACTAATCGCTCGTATGTCGTCTTCACAATAATGTATACCGGAAGAGACCGACATCCCTTAAGCACATGATTATAGCTTTCCGAAAGATTAGTGGTTAGGATTCCATATCGAGTCCCACCATCGGAACAGGGTGCCCACTTCTCTAATGGCAAAGCCAACAACCAGTCATATGTCTCCTCCCGTTGTGACTTAATTTGTTGCATTGTTCTATTGAATTCATAGACATCTGGGGTACTAGTTGCATGATACATCAAGCCCTTCAGTTTTTTGCTATTGAACTTCTGAAAATTACTTCTCAAGTGGCGCAGGAAATTCCGGAATTCTTTGTTCAGCAACATTAATAGGCTCCTCTGTGTACACGTCCGGTGTGTACATAGAGACCCATCCAGATACTTCATACTCATCTGAAGAACTCTCTTGATCAGAATTAGCAATGTACGTCGGATCCTCATATTCCTTCATTGCCTTTTGAACGAAACACCTCCATGTTCGCTCCTCAGAAATGGGGAAGGAGCGTGAAGCGGCATATACTCCATCCTTGTATTTGGGATATTTTCCCCAAATGTTTTTGATGGAATTGTGATTATCTTCACCAATAGCATCGAGGAGTTTATTGAAGACCTTCTTGAATGAGATATCAAGATCAAAAACAAAGGCTTTATTTGAATGCAATGAGTACTCCACCTCATTGTTCTTGATCATCATCTCACCGTTCCAATGGGCTAGCATGACAAAGCTACCATCAGAGGCCATTTTTTGGTAAGAGGTTGTGAGAGAAGTGAGTAGATATGTGAGAGTAAAGCTCGGTGGTGAGATTATGAGAGTTAAGCAACAAATATATAGATGAGATATTTTTTTAGTTAGGTGGATTGTATGGTGTAGGAAGGTTCATAGAGTTAAGTAAGATATTTTTTTGGTTAGGTGGATTATATGGTGTAGGATGGTTCATAGTGTTATGTGAGATATTTTTTTAGGTAGATTGTATGGTATAGGATGATTAGTGGTGATAGATGAGATATTTTTTTAGGTGGATTTTATGGTGTAGGATGATTAGTGGTGTTAGATGAGATATTTTTTTAGGTGGATTATGTGGTGTAGGATGGTTCGTAGTGTTATGTGAGATATTTTTTTGGTTAGGTGGATTGTATGGTGTAGGATGATTCGTAGTGTTATGTGAGATATTTTTTTGGTTAGGTAGATTGTATGGTGTAGGATGATTAGTGGTGTTAGATGAAATATTTTTTTGTTAGGCAGATTGTATGATGTAGAATGGTTAGTGGTATTAGATGAGATATTTTTTTTTGTTAGGTGAATTGCATGGAGTAGAATGGTTAGTGGTGTTAGATGAGATATTATTTTTTGTTAAATGGATTTTATGGTATAAAATGTTTAGTGGTGTTAGATGAGATATTATACAGTACATAAGCATCGAAATTAATACAGTAATGAAGATTTTAGCATCCAAATTAATGAGTAATAAAGATTTTAGCATCCAAAATAATACAAGAATAAAAAGTTTAAATTACAGTGAATACATAAAATAAATGTTTACGAATTAAATTCGTCATCGTGAAAATGTCCTGGAACCAAAAATGGGAGGCAGGGGTTGGGTTTTGGACAAAAGGATCCGAAATACCAATTTTTTTAGATATAACGGTACTGGCTGTACCGTTAATGCCTTTGAAATTAATTTATTTTAACATAACGGTACAGCCAGTACCGTTAATTCCTTTTTCAATTATTTTATTTTAACTTAACAGTACTAGCTGTACCGTTAATTTCTTTTTCCACTGACAGCACTGAACGGGAACACTTTTTTCTTTTCTTCACTGAATGGGAATTAAATCGGACTAAATATGTAAAACGACCTATAACTGGGGACCTTTTATAGAATTACTCTAAATTAAATTTAGAACATTTTCTTATAACTATTTTCATGATCAATTTTTGGTATTCAATTAATAAAATAATACTCTGTATATTTATTAAATAACATAGGCGAAATAGAACAAATAAAGTAAGTAAGAATATTTAAGATATTTTAAATATTAAAAAAACTAATAAGAAGATATATACCCCCTTTGTCCATATTTTAATTACAATTTTATTTTTCTTTCCTATCGAAAACTTTTATTTATTATATCTTTTCATTAATTGTTTGATAAAATAAAATATTCTAATAACCTCTTTTTTGTAGAATTTTGGACGTACTTTTTTAGTAAGTACATTTTATTTCTTATTGATGTATTAATTTTTAATAAATCATTTAAAAATAATAAAAAATTTCATCGTAATTTCCATTTTCTAATGGAAATAGGGATGAGGGGTAAAAACTAAAAAGGACTAAAAGAAATGGGCAAAAAAATGAGACAAAGAAGAGCCATGCTAGGGGTACACCAAATGTGTACCCCATTTGTCCCCCACCCCCTTCTCTCATTTTTGGTTCCAGGACATTTTGTGGTAAAGGTGTACCCCTAGCATTTTTCGACAAAGAAACCAGAGAATATATAATTGTACGGAGTACAAATCACCGACTATCAATTCCTTTTTAAAGGATAAAGTTACTTGTACCCCACAAGTTTGCACCGACACTTTGTGTTTGTGTAAACTAATTTTTGTTAATGCACCAACACTTTGTATTCGTGTAAATTTTTTTTAACGCACAAACACTTTTGTCGGTGTAAACTATCAAAATGTTTGTGTACAACTGCAGTGTACAAATGGGGTATAATATGTGGTGTAAGTGTAGCATGACCCATTTTTAAATTAAAAAAGGACACCTAACTCTCATTGGACTCTGCCACTCTCTCTACAAGTTCCATCCGTTCCAAAAAATATGGTAGTGAGTTGTATTGAAGAAGGAAAATGCTAAGGGTACACCAAAGATGTACCCCATTTGTCCCCCACCCCCTCCATTACCACAAAAATGGGTAAGAAATTAAAAAAAATTAAATAAATAAAAATGGGATTAAAATGAGTGGTAGAGAAAGGGGGGACAAATAAATCTCCTCTTGCGTGTTACGATATTTGACTGAAGTTATTTTCAAATCATTTTATATGAAAAATGGTGAAAAATTTTAAAATAAAAATTACATACTCCCTCCTTCCTAAAATTTTCTTCCCAAAGGACTATTCCAACTTCACGGAAATTTATATTTATTTGTGTTTTTCATGGCCTATATGATAAAATAAAATATTCTTGTCACCATTTGTTTTGTTGAACTTTTGATGTAATTTTTAAATATGTATGTTTTATTTTTTATTTCTATACCAATATTTAAATAAAATAGATTGAAAAAACTTGGTATTTTTCTTCGTTTTGCGCAACGGAAAGAAAGTTTTAGGACGGAGGGAGTATTAAAAAACTATATCAAAAGATCTACGAAACTAGAGGTGACATGACTATATTATTTTATCAAATGAGTGACGAAAATAGACCAACAAAGTGAATAAAGTTTGACCCTATAAACAGTGAACTTGAAGTTTATTTGTAGACGGAGGGAGTACTACTTGTGTTCCAAAAAAATTTGCAAAATAATGTTGAACGAAATAAATTTTTGAGTTTTTTCATTTATTTTATTTATATATTATTATGAGAATAAAAAATAAAACTTACATATTTAAAATTACGTCAATGTTCTACAAAACAAGAAGAGATGACAATATTTTATTTTTACCAACTAATCGATAAAAACGTGAAAAATAAACAAAAATTTCTATAATTTTTGAATGGTGAAATATCACAATCTTTTTGAACGAAGGGAGTAAGATATTATGAAATTATCATAAGAAAAGTTTCATGTTTTAAAATCTTATACTCCCTCCGTCCCATAAAACATTTCCTGTTTCAGAAAAGGCGCGCCCTTAAAATGAGTAATTTTCGTGTTATTTTCTAATTTTGTCCTTACTTTATAAAAGAGTTGGATGACATGTGTAGAATAAATTAGTTATAATTAAAAAATAACACTAAAATTACTCATTTTAAAGGCGTGCCATTTTTGAAACAGGAAATGTTTTATGGGACGGAGGGAGTATAAGACTATTGTCTTATAAAAATTGGTATTGTATCCTACTATTTAATAGTGTTTTTAGAATTTTCTATTAATAATGTTGGTATTGTAAATCTTATTTTTTGGAATAAAAATATATAAACATTACAATGATACTTTATGTGTGTTTTCCCGTATTTATAAACTGGTCAAAATTACTTATAAACAATTTTTAATTTATAAGTCAGCTTATAACATGTTTCTGTGTGCTTATAAGCGCTTATAAGTCAGAAAAAAAGTACTTTTAGCTACTTATTTTTAAGCCTATTTTTTCATTTCTCCATTTTGACCAAATTATTTACAAAAATATCTTTCACCATTTACGAATATTTCCAAGTGCCTTACCTATTATCCATTTTACTTCTATTAAAAAATATTTGATTTATAAGCGTATAAATTAAAAAAATTTTATCAACAAAAAGCAAATAAGCACGACCATAGAGAAACACTCCTTTTCTCCATTTTCAATCTTGAGCTAGTGTTTCTCCATAAATCTTTAAATAAAATGATTTTATCTAATACCCCCTCAATCTTAATAAACTTTTGTGTTTTAATTTTAAACAGTGACTCTTTTTTACCATGAATTATGAGAAAGTATATTTAACTATAGTATAAATTCAATATATTTGGGTTTATTTTAGTATAAAGATTTGATATATCAAATTTATATATCATTTATTTTTTTAGATTATGTTTAATTTGTGGTTATGGAGTGTAACTATTTAACCTTAAAAGTCAAAAAAAGGTTGTTAAGATGAGAGGGAGTAATATATCCTAATCATTGTAGGAGTATAAAAATTTTCACATAATTTTGAAAAATAAAATTTGATCTTTTAATTTTATATTCATTTGTAAATATAATAATATTATTAAAAAGTGAGATTTTAAATATTGTTTGAGGTGTGACAATACTCCCTCCGTCCACAAATAAACTTCTCGTTTACTATTCACAGTGTCAAATTTTATTCACTTTATTGGCTTATTTTTGTCACACATTTGATAAAATAATATAGTCATGTCACCTCTAGTTTTATAGATCTTTTGATATAGTTTTTTAATATGTAATTTTTATTTTTAAATTTTACACCATTTTTGATATAAAATGATTTAAAAATAACTTCAAGCAAACATCGTAACGCGCAACGGGAAATTTAAATAATTCTTTATTTAATTAGATTTTAAATATATAAATTATATTTTTGAATTTTAAATCTATCATCAAAATAAATTAAATAAAAAATTAAATGTTTAATGAAGTAAAGTGTCTTTAATTACCTGTTCCTGCTTTAAGCTCACGACGCTGCCGAAGGAGATGTAAACGACGGAAGACTCCGGTTTGGAATCAAGCCATTCCGTACAGCTGTCCACTTCCACGAAGTCTCCCCGGACATCATCGCCGGCGGCGCTGATGAGCAGCGGTCCGATGGGTCTGATCGGACAGAGCCCCGACATGAAATCAATGACCTCCGGTTCCAGCTCCTGAAACGTCTCCATCAGCACACAGAAGGGTTTCGACAAGTTCTTGAACTGCAAGAGAATCGCCCTAGCCAGAAACTGGTACGGGGAAGAAGGGTGCAAGAAGCTCGGAATCTCATCGTGTTTCAGCGCCGGAATGCAGGGGAGGACGACGTCGGAGAACGGCTCCGATTCGGTCGGAAATTTGGCAAGTTTGTTCTGGTAGTGGTAATAGGCGCAGAAACTCACGCAGGACTGGACCCAGAGGACGGCGCTGGGGATTCCGTGTTTCTCGGCGACGTCGGAGACCCAGGGGATGAAAGGGTTGTTGATTAAGCAAGAAACAGGGGAGCCCTGTTCTTCGTATTTCCGGATCATCCCGGAGATCTTCACCGACCCGGTCCGTTCTATTTCGGCGAGACGGAAGTCGAGGTCGTGGCCGTGCGGGCCGGACGGGTTGAACTCGTCGTCAAAGAACTCGAACCGGATGAGGCCGGCGCCGTGAGGGGTGGGCTCCTCGCTGATTTTGGAGTTGGCCTTTCTCATGTCCGCCCCGACGGATTCCGGCGCGGAGAAGGTGACCAGAAGTCCCTTCCGGGCAAGACGCTTGCCGAGGCGGAGGAGAGGGTTCACGTGGCCTTGCCCGGGGAAGGACACCATGAGAACGTGGAGTTGAGGCGGCGGCGGCGGCGGTGGAGCACCGGGGCTGATCGTGTTGTGGTCTGGCTGAGACCCCATTTCTCAGCACTTAGCTCAGCTGTGAATGAAATAATTATGTTTGTGGACTTCAATGGTATAGATGGGGTACTTAAAGAGGATATTTTTTTAGAGCAATGGTGGGGTACACATTTTGGTGTACCCCAAATGTACACTACCCCTTCTCCACCACACATTTTTATTTACTTATTTTTTTAATTTTTTTTACCTTTTTTAGTGGACAAAGAGGGGGTGGGGGACATATGGGTACACCAGGTGTACCCCTAGCATTTTTCTATTTTTTGTTTTGCAAAAGATAACTTCTTTTATGGTATAAATGCAATAAAGTTTATAAAATGAGCAGTAATCTTAAATTTATAGAAGAATTTGCCAGTATTTCAAGCATTCAATATTTCAATGAAACACATACATTCTCAATGTCTATGCGTATACATACAAGGAGAGTCTCTCTGTTTGTCAATGTCTGGTGTATAAATGACGTACCCCATTATTCTTAGGTTAGTTCTTCCAAGAGGAGTTTATCACAATAATACCTCGTGTTTTGGTAAATGTGCAACGTTACATTCTATGGTTTTAAAACTTACGTCGTTGCTCATGAATATTAAAAAGTGCACCGTTTGCCCTCGAACTCTTTAAAAGTTATACAGTACGATTTATCCTAAACATTAAAAAATACACCAAAAACCTCTGAACAACTTAAAACGTTGCACCGTTGATTCTAAAATGCTAGAAAGAGAGTGTGTTGCTCCCAGACATGAGAATTGCGAACATGATTTATCTGACCCTTGTGATTCTCCAAAGTAGCCTTCTCCAAAAAGAGTTCATACGTATTTGGCGCACTTTTATCAATTTTGACTAAAAAAAGTTAAAATTTGATAAATACTATAGCAGTATTTATATTTTTAAAAGAATAAAAATACGGAGTAGATGTTTGAAATTTGCGACCAAAATTTGTTTCTAGAAGTATAAATGCACCAGGGATACGGCGCAGGTATAATAAGGATGGAGGGAGAAGGGTAGTTGCAACGTGCCATGGTCACAAATGACTTAACCAAACATTTTGGGTGTGAGAGTTGATGTACCGTAGAATATTAAAGTTGGATTTATTGTGAATTGGGTAGATATCATCATGTTTGTGAACTAGCGAGAGCACGGGCCGGGACCGTTCAAGTTTTAAATTATCACGCGTCTTATCCCGTATTATTTTAACAATTCGGAATGGTTAAAGTCATGTGCATGTCTCGCTTTGTTCCATGATATTCGGAGTCGAGATAAACTGCTGATGGGCGTTGCGCAGTTGGCAAGGCAGGAGGCATCAAGGGTGTAAGACCCGAGTTTGATTCCTGGCAAATGCGCTGGGAGGCAATTTTGATAAGCACCGATGCATGTTCTACTCTTTGCCACCGATATGCGCTTAAAGTCTAATTCATCTCCTCTCAGTGATCATCTGGCCGAATCTAAAGGAATCATCGGGGATGAGGTTCATCATTTTTTTCCCGAAATCGAGATGAAATAGAAAGGGTTCAAATTGTCTTATTTTATCATTGTTTTATATTAGATCGAGATAAATTATATAAAAAGATGGGGAAAAGTAATTTCTGATTGAAAACAAATGTTACAACATAAAGAATTAGACTAACGTCAACATTTGTGTTCTAGCTGCCAATAGATCAAAATAAAAAACATAAAAAAGACAAATGTGTTCCAGCATCCAAACAGTTTAAAAAATACTCCACGGACCCATCTTGCAACGATGAAAAAATTGATAAACTTCAAATACTATCATTGGAAAAATTTATTATCACTGCAAATACTACCGGTGCAATATTCTAGTTTTGAAACATTTTCTTTATAACTTAAAATCTTAATTTCTATTTTCTTTTTATTTCTTTGAATTTTTTTCCGTTCTTTCTCGTTTCTTCCAATATCTTCTAATTTTCATTTTTTTCTAGTTTCTTACAATTTTTTTACTATTTCCATTTTCTTCAATTTTTCTACTCTCAAATAATGATTCTAAAAATAAGAGTAAATTTCATAAAATGTCCCTACTTATAGGTCGTTTGTTAATATTTTCTCTAAGAACGTAGATACAATTGTATATTCACACTTCTCTCTCTTCAATTAAGCTTTCTCCCTCCTCTCATACTCATTCCCAAATCCGTCGCTGAGTTTGAAGCTCTAAATCCAAAACTGAAACGATCACTCCTCTCTCAATCGTTCATCTTTCTGGTGGAACCCAAAATCAAAACCAATAACCTTTATAGATAAATTTTATGGGTTAGTCTCAAAAAATTGCAAAGAAAACAAACCTTAAAACTCATTAATGAAGGTTACTGTTTTGATTTTGGATTCCACCAAGAAAACGAACAATTGAGAAAGGGGGAATGATTTCGGTTTTGGGTTCAAAGCACGGGAAAGGAATGCGAGAGGAGAGTTGGAGCTTAATTAAGAAAAGAGAGGAGCGTGAATTTACAATTTTATTCACGTTTTAACAGAAATGTTAACAAAAGATCATTCGTGGTAAACAGTATAATAATTGAGGACTAAATTATTGATATTTGATATGTAAAGACTAAATATGTAAAACGAACTATAATTATGGACCTTTTATGAAATTTACTCTAAAAATAATGTATTTTTCATGTATTTTTATTATTTTGAACCGAAAGTGCTTCATTCACATCACCAAAACCCAAAACTTTTACAAAACAAAACCACAACTAAAAAAACCCCCTAAACTACCCTATTCTCAGTCCTCTTACTCACTATAAAAGTAGAACTCTGAAATTTGATAGTTTTAGGGGTGCATTCAATTTAGATTTTAAATGATTTTGATAGATTTTTTAGAATCCATAGATTTTGTAAGTTTATTGGATTGTTTAAAGTTTACACAGAGTTAATTAGATTCTAATGTATTCTATCAAATGATTTTATAGGATTTACATTTTTCTTTTCTTTTTTCTTTTTTTTCTTCTTTTCTTTTTTCTTTTTCTTTTTTCTTCTCCTTCCCCAGGAACCCTAACCGCGCCGCCCATTTTCTTCTTTCAATGTTTTCTTTCCTTTTTTTCTTTTTCTTTTTCTCCTCCGTCTTTCTCCCGGCTTTCTTACGGCGAACAAGACGACTTCCTCGGTGATAAGACGACCTCCTCGGCGACGATGGCGACCTCCTCGGCGATAGGGTTGCAGCGGCCAACCTCCTCAGCGATAGGATTGCAGCGGCGATAGGACGACCTTCCGTCGGGGTTGGAAAATCCGGCGACGCAAGGCATGGATGAGAGAAGATGAAAAACGTGAATAGGAGTAATCAAAATCTCAGGTCTTTTGATTGGATTTGGAAATTGGATTTGTATTTATACCCAAGGCATGAAAATTTATCAAAATCCACCATTTTTAAAATCTTTTAAAATCCATTGATTTTTGAATACCATCATACTTAGAAAGATTTTTTTAAGTTTGAATTGAATACACCCAGATTTTAAATGACTTTTTAAATTCTGAATTGAATACATGTGGATTTTCAGAATCCAAAAAAATCTATCAGAATCCGGATTGAATACACCTCCCTTAATAATCTCTTCCAATTCCTAGCCATCACTGTTGGGGATAATAACGATAACGCGAATCAATCGAGAGTCGTGTATCACACTTTCAGATTGAATATTTTGGTTGTTCAATCCAAAATTCAATCGGATAAAACTAGAAATTAACAATACGAGTATGGGATTGTTATGAATTTTTCGAATGCTCCTTCGACCAAAGATTTTCGGGAATATATAGAGTTGCGGCGGAGAAGAAAAGACGTGATCGCGTCCTTTTATCCAAGACGCGCGATCCTTCGCGCGAAACCTTTTGAACAAATCGGTGTTATCCTTAACGATTTTTCTTTTTAAAGAAAATTTGAAAATAAAAATTCAAATGAATTTTTTAACATAGCAATTTGCCCAAAATAAAAAATTTTCGACTCCAGCCAGGGGCTCTGCCCCTTGGACCCCGCAGGGGTTGCCGCCCCTTGAACCCTGCTCGAGGGCGCTGCCCCTTAGAATCCCTGATAAAACGAGACTTTTATTCTAACAAACTCAACGAAGCGTGCACTCCGCACCACCAAACTTCTTTGATGATTATTAGGATACTATTGGTCATAGTTTTTTCCAATTACACTAAAACATATAACAATCACTTCCTGCCGTTTCTGCCGAGTAGTAGCCTTCATAATGCATTGCCCAACCTGAATCACATCATTCCCTTCAATGTTGGTCTTCATCCATGTGGAGATTTGCCTCATTACCTCTTGGGCAAATTCACATTATTTTTGCCAGCCTCACCTTTGTTTGAATTCGCCCCCGCATGATTAACCACATTATAAATTTACACTTTGGCAATGTAAGTCTGTTCCAACCAATCAATCCAAATTGGGTTAGGAAATTTGCCTAGCAACCACTCATACCCCTATGGTATAGTATAACAACCATCGTTAGACATGATATTGCTGTTGTTGTTGTTATTACTATTACATTCAATATTGTAGTTTATTTTTCCCATTACTGTTTGTGTGACTCACACTCATTATTATTTTTCCTTTCATTTTAATACAAGTAATACATAGTACTCCGTATAATTTTATTGAGAAAAATGTTTTTTTGTTAATTTACACGACACTAAACTATGTTCTAAAAATTAGGGATATTTTATTAATCTAAATTGACATAAGAAAAACGTCAATATTTTAAATTAAAAAATAACAATTGTGCCACTCCCACTTTAGCTAATTAAATGGCATATGTACAATTCACATGGTCAAATTTTATTCACTTTCTTATAATAATAATAATAATAATAATAATAATAATAATAATAATAATAATAATAATAATAATAATAATAATAATTTCAATAACAATAAAAAAATAATAAGAACAATTTTTAAAATATATTTAAATAAATTTTTGAAATTTCTTCTAGTTTTTTACAATTTCTTTCCATTTCTTTCAACATTCAACTTTTTAAAACATAATACTATTACACTACTACTCGTTTAGAGGTTAAATCTATTTCGTTTAGAGGTTAAATCTATTGTTCAAGTTCACAAGCAGAGGCGGATCCATGAATCGAAAAATATGGGATCTCGTTTCTTAAAAAAAAGATGAACTCTCTTTAATGGAGTAAATGACGAACATATGTAAAAAAAATTTACAATTCCTGACAGTGTAAGTGAGACATTTTTTTTCTGACAGTGCAATACGGATTTGGCTACTCCGTTTCTACTTACGGAGTAGCCTAATCCGTCTCCTTCATTTAAATGTCAAACGGAGTTGGCTACTCCGTATGATTTTTGTTCCAAATTTTTGTTCGGTTATTTTGTTGCTTTCTTGCTTTCTTGTTCAATAATGTCCAATTATTGACTTTCTTGCTTTGTTGCTCAAATGGAGTCTTTGCTTTGTTGTTCCAATTTTTGTTCCAATTTTTTTTTTCAATTTTTTTTCTCCAATTTTTTGTTCCGATTATAATTTTCTTAATCAAATAGTTGTTGTTTGTTTCAATTTTTTTTGCTTTAAACATTTCTAACTTTTTTTAAAAGTATTTTATTAAACTTTAAATGTTTATTTTGGTTATGTATGTAA